CGGTGCCCGTAGCGGGGCAGGCCGCCCGCATGTGCGGCCCGTCGCTTATAGTGTCCTTAGGGAGGTAACTGTGAGGTAGCAGCCTCCTGTTGGCRGCACCTTTGGAGGCTCACTGGGCTCAGTTGTGGCCTTTGAGGCCAAGGAATCCCCAGGAGGTCGCGTGGCGACGGCGCGAGGGGCGCTCGTCCCTCCGGAAAGGAGCGCGGTGGTAGATTGGGCCAAATGGTAGATCAGTTGTGTAGGCAGTGACGGTTGGCGTGATGAAGAGCAGGGAAGAGCAGGGAAGAGAAGGGAAAGGGACTACCAGGCCCTTCCAGCAACGAGGCTGTGGGATCCTGGCCCATGCCTCCGTCTCCCAACTTGTCTGCTTGTTTTTTGGTAAAAGGCAGACCAAATGTTTCTTAAACACAGAACAGAAACACTCCCACGTGAATCATTACCAGCGCTTTGACTTCAGCTGTCCTATGGTTTTCCCCATGTATTTCCTCCTAAGCCGTACATATTTATTTTCATATTTATATGAAGCTTAGAAATATGGAGCAAAATAATTTCTTCTAGCAATCTGTCACATTAAATTATACTTTTTTCACTTAAAGTAACCTTGTGTGTCTTTTCTGTTTGCCTTTCCCATGAGGGGTCTTAAGGGGCCATAAGAGAGGACTGCAGGAATCCAATTACCTGAAATCAACTTAGAGGCAAGGAGGAGACATCGTTAATGGAGATAAGCTCCTTCCCAGGCTTACAGCCTTTCTCTCTCGGTGTCATGATTAAGATGGTCTCTGTGGACAGTGAAATTAGTGTGCGTGGCTTCTTGATTAAGATGTGGGACAGAAAAGCAGTGGACTCTGCAGTTTCTGTTTAAAAAGATGTAGTATACACAGTTTGGGAATATACAAGAGGCCAAAGTCACCACCAAATACATATTAATCCTGACAAAACATTCTTAATGTAATGTAGTTAATATGCTACTTGCAAAATATCTTTTGCTGTTTGCTTCCTAAATCTCACTTCAAGCAACACAATGCKAAACTTAAAATACAATTTCATAAAACACTTTTGTTTTCCTCGTTTCCTGTACAGCGCAAGAGTGAAATGCTGGGAGTTGCACAATGCTGCTGTAGCAATTTTGCAAGGCACCAGAGAAAAATGCATCATATTATCTTTGAATTTCAGTCTGTTTCTACTTCTCACRGCAATCAATAACCATTAGTATGGTGGTAGTATCTGTCTAGGTAATCTTAGGGCTTTTCCAGAAAGCAAAATACATAAACCAGAATTGTCATGTCATAATTTTTTTTCTATTTTTCAACTCCCCAGTCCAGGGTTTGGGAGAAAAAAAAATCCAAATATCAGAAAGTGGAATAAAAGAAAAATGACTACTAGTTAAATACAGCCTGTATTTAGCATCAGAATAAGAAGTTGGAGAGCAAGGATTGCTTCTGTTGGCAGCCAGCAGTGGTTCCTTGAGGAGGAATTGAAAGAAAACCGGTAGCCATATATATATATATGTATATATATATATATAAAAAATATGAGCTATTACTAAGGTTATTTTGGAGCTGTGGGTCATGAACAGGTGTGAGGCTCCAGCTGCGGCTGCACCGCGGAGAGCAAAGCAGGGCTGRGTATAGACTGAGTGGAGGAAACCTGCTCAACAACCATCCTTTTCCTCCATCCCTTGCATCCTGCCCTCCTGACCTAGGCTGGCACTGGCAGGCAGCATCCCAGGAGGCCAGAGCTGAATCCCTTGGGGAAAACAAGATGGATAAATCAGCAGCACCTTGTTACGGATCCTCCCAACCTGTGCAGACACCTGGGTCTGAATGTGGAGGGCGAGGGTGCTGTGGGGATGGAGGAGATCCTGTATGCACAAACGGTTATTGTAAAACTAGCTTGAGTTGTCGCAAATGCACAAGAGATTTCACCTTTTACTTTGGGAGGAAGACCACCACTGGGGCCTCTTGAAGATAAAAACGAAGTCTGTCTTGAAATGATGACTTTCATAACCTTTTGGAGTCTGTTTCTTCTTGCAGATATTTAGAATATATATTTGGCATATCTTTGGAAGATATTGCCTGTCAAGTTGTCATAAGTAATTGTATGTTTGTTAACTTACTGTTCCTAATAAACAACCAGAAATATTCATGATGAGTTTCTTTTTGTTTTTCCTTAAATAAGATTTAATAACTACTTTGATTAAATATTAAAGCTTTGCTTTGCTGCTCCAACCAAACAGAAAATTCCAAGTATCAATAAAATATTTTGTGCACAATATCTTTACTCCCTAGCCCTTCTSCTGGGCTGTATTGACTGCTGGCAAATTGATGGGGGTAGTTCCTAGGTGCTACAGGCGGAGACTGATGGACCTGGCTCTATGATGACCCCACAGGCCAAGGCTTCTGTCTYGCTGAAAATGCCTGGAAATGGGATGAGCTGTGGACAGATAGGATGGGCTGCCAAGGGGAGGCGTTCCTGGGAACAGCGCATTTCCCAGTGGGCAGGAGGGTTTACTAAGATAAAGGAAACCTGTTAAAGCCAATAAAAGCTCCAGTGGTTTCCTGTCTTTTTTGCCTGTGGCYGTGCCCGTAGGGGGGCCGCGACGCAGGATGACAAGTGCTCATGTTGAGCAGAACGAGGCTCCCTCAACGGCCCGAGCTGGTGTCAGCTCCAATGTTTCCCCTCCRCCTCGCCTCCCCGTGGCAGGAGCAACCTGCCGCCTTGGCTTTGCGTCAAGGCTGCRTTGGGGAGACCCATGGCTTCCAGCCCGCTCCGGAAAGGAATTTTCAAAGGCGACATAGAACATAGCAGGACAAGCGTGGCGAGGGAGGAAGACAAGTGGGGAAGGACTATGGGCATGACCTGGGTTTGGGGTATGAGAGGCACCAGCCGAAAGCCAAAGCTCCTGGTTACCCGATGAGCACGTGGTAGCATCGGACCGTGAATTGTCCCGTGGGCTGTTGGTTTTCCACAGGCTGAGAGCACCACTATGATGGGAGCTGCTGGAGCTTGTGGAAGGGGCCTGACTGGTTGCAGAAATGAGAGCCCTTGGGTCAGACGCGGAGAGAAACTAATTTATTCTGGGAGTCGCGCGTGCTGGCGCGAGAAGCTGTAATGTGTGTGTGTACAAGAGCCCAGGGAGGCCTAATGGCACTGCTGGGACCACACCGTAATATCCAGGTTGAAATCATTCCATCTTTATCTCATTAGGAATATAATTTCCTCCTACGTGTGAAGCCCAAATGTCAAATTGAGAAGTAGAGGGAACATAAACAAAAGACTGTGGACATATTGCTATTGCGGGTTTATTTTTGAGTATTCGTAGGAACTGCAGAAGGCTGTAGGAAGATGCTCCAAGCAAAATGGTAGGATAGAGGCTTCCAAAAACTAATACGTATTTTTAGCAAGTGTTTCTTCATCTTTGTAGGAGGAAGCTCACTGAAAGATTGCTTATCTTTCACTTTCCTGGTTTGTTCTGGTTTGTTTAATATATATATATATTTTTGAATGAGCACTGCTTACAGAATCCATGAGGAATCTGTGTGTGTATCCCAGCAAGCTGTGGGTCAGTATTTTGGCTGTTGGCAGCCCAGTTGCTGTCGTAGCAAATGTCACCCAGCAGCAGGTTTGCACCGTGGGAGCCTCGCAACAGGCCCAGGTCGCAGGTGCAGCACAGACGCTGCTAGTTAAGAATGTGGGTCTCGATCWGTAATATTTAGATTATTTACCTGGCTGTGCTTGGTGATTTTTATGCAGCCTTTTTCTTCTTGAATGCCTACATTTACTTCTCCCTCCTCCTTGCTGCACAATAATGTTATTAATCAGGTTAATGTGATAAAAAAGTACAGAGTTTCTAGGAAAACTATTTCTACAGAAATGGTGTGATTTCTTTTTTAATGTTGGTTCATAGCAGGATGTCTCATATGGAGTTGTTATGGTATCTTGGCACCGCAATTGAAATGTTTAGTAATGGTCAGGATGGGTTTGGGTTCCTTTGGTGCTTTATTAGTACATTTAAAGGTAGGCTATAAGGTAGAATATATTTGCTTTTGTATACATGAAAAATACCGCCTTCTCATTCAAGGTACATTTATTTTAACCGTATTTAGTATTCACTAAATCTGTGGTTATTTTCTCTTGAAAATGCATTTATTATTTCAAGATTGAATCATGTTCAGTTGCTACTCCAAACTATAACATCACAAAAAATGGTAAGAATGATTGCCTATAATGTATTATTACAGGCAATCCAAACTGCCAAACAAACCAGACAGTTAATAAGTTTTCTTTTTGCTTTGAAGTGAGYGCTGTGAATGTTCCATGCTAACTGAAGCTGCCCACAAACTCTATATTTTTAAAATTTTCATATTAAATGACTACAATTATTATATGTGATGTATCTCTGCTTCTCCTCGTCAGTCCTTGCTGTCTCTGTGGGTATTTAGATGACTCTGGTCTGGGACCTGGATAAGATACTCTTTATGTTGCCTGTTGTGAAAGGCCTTATCCAAAGGGTGTGTTAGAGATACTGTATTTCAGGAGGAGGAGGGAGGAGTTTATTATAAACCTTGGCCCCTAAATAGCGTCTTTCAGCAGAGGACCTTCTTTGGCGAATCTCCTTGTTCCCACCTTGCAAGTTGTTCTGGTCTATCAAAGAGCTTGGGAACACGCAGCTTGCTGTTAGCTTTGTGCAAATGCTGCTGTAAAACGGCTGGCAATCAGTTTCAAGAGAGTTGATCCTAGGTTGCTGTCCAGTCTAGGGAATCTCTAAGCCAACCTCTGCCCTGCCCTCCTTCCAAGTGAAAGCTACTCTATGAAGATGAGGTTAATTGGCTGCAAAAATACCAGACCTGTAGCCTCCTTGAAATGAATRCAGTCATGATTTGTTATGATTATTCCGTATGAATTTTATGAGTGAAGAGTGTTTTATTCCCGCAAGGGAAGTTAATGCTGAATGCTGCTGAAGTGGATAACCTGACGTGTACTTTTCTCTCTCCTCAAAGCACACGAAAGAAATGGGAAGGCCACAGACTCCTCTCAAAGAAACCCCCTTGGAGCCGTGGACTCAGCCACAGGTAGGCTGGAACKGCTCTTCTGCATCTCTTCTCTAGGGAACATTTCTGTAAGCCTAAACTGAATCGAGTAACTGGGGCTCTAATGAAACCCAGGACGTGTAGCCKTGTGGTTCTTGGCACCACGTGTCAGAACGATCTGTTTCAGTGTTTGGCTGTCAGGATCATTTGTGCCATACTTTCAGTGAAACTCTTGGGATCCAGCTCAGCTTTTTTTCCAATATAGAAATGCCAGCGTTATCTTTACCTCCGCTTCTGTTGCTTATTTGCTTAGGATTTTGCAAAATTTTACTTTCACTCAAAATTTCACTCAAGTCAGAATCTTTGGCAAAGGAGAAACTTAGAACAAAGCTAATTCTGTGTTGAATGACAAGCAATCATGGACACTTTATGGTGTAGAAATTCAGTTTGTGGGGTGTTATTTTGAAGGGACAATCTGAAGAAGCTACCTATTCTATCATCCAAATTGATGGGTGCTCAGCCCGAGCCAGGGTCCACCTAATTCCTTAGCCTCCAGCCTTAAAAACTAAATGCATGGAAATGCTTGAACTCATACGCTTATTTTGGAGGCCTATTTGCTCTGAAATTATGCGACAAATGCAGTACATGCATTTAGAAGCAGAAATAAAAGGCGCACATCTCAAGTATTGCTAACTGCATCAATACCTCGGTGCGGGTTTTATGAGTTGTGATGCTGACTGTGCAGGCTTTTGGGGGTAAAATCTATGGAGCTGACTGCAATTTGATAGAGTTGCTGGTAAGTCTTAAAAGGTGAGTTCTTTACTGTGGTCACACATACAGGTATCTGTTTTGACAGCTGTATTTGCCATTGCTTTACGTTATAGCTACTAAAGAACTATAGCTACTATAGAACTAAAATGTGCAACATTTTTGTCACTCCTATCCACTTTTATTTATTCATTTATTTATTTTTCCTGGGGTATGGGGGAAGAGAACTGTTGCTTTAAAAAAAGCATACACAAAAAGAAGCTCACGCCCATATGCTTTTTGTTTTGTGGCGAGAGGAAATGTAATCAACAAAATCAAAAACTGCTGGAGCCATTATTGTAGCAGAAAATTAAATTAGTTGTTAATTCTTCCATGGCTGTAATTCTGGCTCCTGCAAATCCCTCCTTAGATATTTTGTATAAAGTGAGTAAAAATTCATGGCATGGATAAAGGCTTTGTCTGTTTTATGAGCAACAGGCAAATGATCCAAATGGTGCTCATAAAGCAAATGGTTCCCAACTCTAAAAGGAGGAGGAATATATTTAAAATCCACGGGAACAAACCGTTCCAGTTCCAGTAAAAACAACTTCTGTTTACAAGGAAGCACTGTTTATATGAAAGTGTGTTTTTTTGGTTCTAAAGGGAGACACTCACCCCTTCCTCTACTTAATAATAATTTAAGAAGTCATTACATTTTCCTGGGCTCCCTACTCCATGTTCGCTGTTCAGAGGTGCTTTGGGATATATTTTTATCCATAGAGAGTGAAAAGAAGGAGGTGAGAGCAGAGCTTCCATGTTGAGGGCCAAGCAGGCAGTGAAGCAAGAAGGACCACATCTGTCCCCTAATATCTAGGRTGTGAGGAGCTGAGACGTGTCAAAAGATGGACAATTTCACATGGAGCTTCTAGCTGGAGGAAAAAGAGCTGGTGCTTCAGATGAGGCAGGAGGGAAAACGCTGCAGGTCTCATGCCCTGTCCTAGCCTGGGTTTCTTGTACCTGTTTGGATTCATTTTACAGAAGCAGCCAAGACAAATGTGAAACTGAGCTGGTAGGGAGAATAGAGAACTCCAGTGCTCCATCAGGTTAATTTTTTATTCTTTTTTTTTTTTTTTTTTTTTTTTTTTTTTTTTTTTTTTTTTTTTTTTTTTTTTTTTTTAATTATCCAAAGAAATAAATATCTCTAATAAATTAAAGAAATAGGACTTTGCCAAAGTGGGAGTCGTTTTTCTTGCCTGTGCCTTTTAACTTGGAGTTTTCTGTGTCCCTTTACGGGAAGCCGATGAATAGAAATTGATGTTACTGTCTGGAAAATAAAGTATGAGACACTCGTTCTCTGTGATCTCTGCCTGATAAATCTGGGACATGACTTTTCCGGATAAAGAACATGTGTGGTAGTAGCTGCCCAAATAGGCTTGTCATTGGTTTACAAGCTTTATTTAAATGTTAAAATACCATCCATTTCTGTGGTTATGGTGGGTGTTTTTGCTGCTTTGCCTGATTAAACATTTAGCTGATAAACCCTGTCAAGGCTGTTCAGAGCTACTGCGGGTAAGAGTCCTATTTATAGGCTCTGTTTTTATGGTCAGTTTGACACAGGACAATTTGAAGTCGAGCTAATCTATGACTGCTTAAATTTTTGACATTTGCTGCCACCACTTCTAAATGTGAATTTTGAGGTCCTGAGACAATATCGATCCAGATTCTGATTCAGAACAAAATTATTTTGTTGTCCCAAATTACTGGGAGGGTATATGTAGCAAGAAAAAAAAACAAAACAAAACAAAACAAAAGCCTTTACCAAAATCAGGAATAAGAAGGTAACATAGCATAAAACTCCAGCAGTGGCAAAACAGGCAATTTTGCCCGTATGACAAATAGAGTAAAAGTTCTGCTACTGAATTGCCGAATGCTTTTATAATTTAAACCTTTTTTATTCTGTTATGTCACTATCTATTCAGAATCTAAAATATTGTTCTAGGCAAGTGATTCCTTGTTGTAGGCAAGAATTTGGACAGCAAAAATGAGAAAAGGTGGTAGTAAYGGAGCTGTAGCTTTTATTTACTTATTAATTTTAGCAGCTTTCACTTGCTCACATAAATTAATGGCTAAAAAAGTCTAGTTAKGCCAATTCTCCTGGCCTAAATCAAGCATAATAGCTATAACGAACACATTAATTTCAGGAAATTAATTAATTTAGGGGAATTCTTTCCTAACACTCTTCCTGTCTCACAACTGTTCACAATGTGTAGTTGACACTGGACACACACAGAGAACGCTCCTAAAGGTTTCTGTTTTCTTCTTGTAGCTCCTTGTGAGGGTTAAATATCCAGGGATTTAGACTTGTTAATCTCAGGTAATGTGAATTCACCTGTTACATCAAATAACCAGCACCAGAATGGGTTTATTACCACCTGGTGTTACTAATGAGCGTGACAGGCAGGAGCAATAAGATGCAGACTAAGTGCAAAGCTATTTTCCTCATGGGAGCAAAAGAGGCAAGTTATTTGTTTCCTCCTTTACTTTTACAGTTTTGGGGTTTTTTTTGTTTGTGTGCAGTGAAAATGTGGAAATCCTCTTTTTTTTTTTTTTTTTTTGGAAACAATTACTTTTTATGGAAAGGCAAAAACACTCAGGCTGAAACCTAATTACGAATGATAGAGTGCAGTATTTTTTCTGCTCAATTTTAAAGAATCACTTTATAATCTTGGAACAGTGGATAACAACATCACTAATCCAATATTTTAACAGTAAATACGTTTGATGATGGGAATTGCTACACTAATCTTATATCCCTCCACAGTATAGTTAAGAAATCCACAGGGGGGTTTACTAATCAGTTTTTGTAAAGTAAATCAAGTCATGTAATTCTGGTTTGCTCTTACTGCCTTGCGAGCACCGGYGGAGCTGTGCGCCTGCTTTTCTGGTCTCTCCATCAGTTCTGCACCCTCGTGTGCAGCTGGGTTCTCCTTTCTGTGAGAGGGAAAGGGGCTTTTGGAGAGAAGAGTCTCCCATTTCCTCCTGATAGAGCCTGCCTGGTGTTAGCAGAGGTTTGAGCTGCTGAGAAGAGGAGAAGGGCTCCCAGTCACAACTGCTACTTGGTCATGGGCATTGCACTGCTGGCATGCGTGGGTTAAGCCATTTTAGACCTCAACTTTACTGGACAGGGATATATTTGGCAATGTGGCTTGTGTCCTTGTCATGTTCCACCAAACCATTAAAGTTGAAATGATTTTTCTGTTTTTAATTTTAACTTAGAAACAATAGGATATTTTGCAGCAGGGAAAGCTGCTGACCTCCATGGTTAATTATTTCAGGATGAGTAATTAATGAGAAATCTGTGCTGATGTGGAGTTGCACAATTTGTTCCTGCAGTTCACAAAAAGTGACTTATTTTTCCTCAAACCCTGTTGTGCTCTGCTTGTTTAGCTCACGGCGGCAGCCTGTCGGCATCTAAATCAGTGCAAGTCACAGGAAAGGGAAGCTCTATTTCTGACTGGCTGTGTTCAGCTTGGGCATAAATCAGTCACCTAAACAGATTCAGCAGTCTAGGTATACCCTGGTTATATTTAGTTTTAGAGTCTGTTCTTTCAAAGTAATGCTGTTTTATTTGGTGCCTTCATAGATTTGCATATGCCTCAAGTGTATTTCATATTTAAATGGAACTTCAATTATAATCCTGAGCTCTGATGCAGCAGACTTAGTAAATTAAAAAAAAAAAAAAAGAAAAAAAGAAAAAAAAATCCAAATCAACACAGAAGGTTTCTAAATGCAATTAGATTTGAACACATAAATTCTAAATGAGCAGTCTAATCTTAAGACTTTATTTTGCACCTCTGAGCAAAGGCCTTGCAAACAAGAAGCAGGGGTGGGTTTGGTCCACAGTGCAAACCAACAGGGTTGAAATGGGATTTGTGGGAGGAAAAACACAGTCATTTTGACATGATGAAAATAATGACAATGGGCTACCCAAAAAAAAAAACAGGATAGCCCARAAGAGATTTAATCTTTCTGGCACCAAGCAGCGTGAGGCGCTTTCAAAGACACCAGGCCAGGGTACAGCCCCTGTGACAGAGCGTCTCTGGTTAGCAACGTGACAGAAAATCGGGATTCAGGGATGGAGAGCAACTAAGGGAAAGGCAACTTATTAATTGGAAAACGAGCGCTAACCACTTCCAATCTACAGACTAAAATGGTAATTTCCCCTGATCRTTGCATTGAATGCGGAATACAAAAATGCCAGTGTGCCAGATGTAAAACGGGGCATCAGGATACAG